AAGACTCAAGAATGAATCTCAAAGCTCAAATACAGTATTCAAACTGTTAAAGATATGAATACTTTGCAATCTCTTATTTCAGAGACTTAAAATACACATTCTGTACTAGAGATTATAAAACTAGTAAGTATAAATATGAAATATGTTTAAAAAGAGATGAAATATGTCAATATACTCTGCTTAACTACTTCAATTACAAAGAAAAACATGCATCTAGCTTAAAAGAATATGTATTTACTTCAAGAACTCAGAAGAACTGAAGAAAAGATGAAGCTCAAAGTAAATCTAAAACTGAAGAGAAAAGTTAAGCTAGTAAATCTGCAACTGTAAGCTTAAAAAGAAGAAACTCTCAACTATCTAGATCTTCAAACTTCAATTTTTCAGTTAAATGTAAACAGAATTTGAATTTCTAAATATCTGTTAAGATTAGAGAATTGAGAAATGACTCTGATAATAAACTAAATAGAATGTAAGCAGTTGAGATTTCTGCTTTTCAAAATAGTTATAATCTACTATCTGATGATAGTAATTAGATTCTACTCTATCTTCACCCTCTTTTAGTATGAATGTACAACAAAAATAATAAAAAAAGTTTAAAAACTCTTCAAAAATCACATTTATTTAAAACAATGTAAATAGAAACTCAAAGTGTATTTATTCTTGTCTTCAGATTACATTTGAATAAAAAGTTGACTTTGTACTTCTTCAAGAACCAAACTTTGATACTGAGTAAAAGTACATTATTTCTCATTCAAGCTATTACTGCTTTCTTTCTGAAAAATCTGAGATAAAATCAGAAGTAGTGATCTATAGAAGAAAAAGATCAAGATATTAATTTAATCTGAGATTTGATATTATATCTGACTCTGATATTCTAGTGAGTGATATTATAGATAAAGAGAATTAGTTTGATTATAACGTGACGGAACCGAAGTGATGACTAATCAGCGGCGTCACGCAGGGGTAGTTGTTTGAGAAGTTATATGAGTGAGCTTGACTATCTTACTTGAATAGTGAGCTCATAGGCTACAGAGTTATTATGAGAATATCACAGATATGATACTTAGTATACTGAGAAGATTGTATGAGAAATATAGTAACTCTTGTATATATTTCAGTAGTAGAAAAACAAATTACTGACTTCTTTAATAAGAAGTCAGTATCTAGCTATTCTATATAGATAATGAGCAGATACTCTTCTTTCATTTCATGAGTGAGAATAGCTGAAGTAATATCTCAGCAGTGTCTCACTACTAAGAAAGAGTAATCTGCTGACCTTGTATAGAAGCAGAGTTCTTATATTTATTAATCAGATCTTTCTATAATATATCTGAATAATATCATAGAGTGATTGAAAACCAGTTTGAATGAAATGAAATTATTCACATGAAAGCAATAGATTATGTGAAACTGTAATAGAGTTTTAACACAGCTGAGAGTGTGACAATGCTCTTCTCTTTAAGAGTATAGTTTCAATATTCTTAAGATTACTGAATTAGAAGTTATCTTTGATGTATAGCAACAGTTATTAACTTATTTAATAGTATATGGGGGGGGGGGGAGTATAAAGAAATAGATGAGTTTTTCTGCTGACTGTATAGATCTTTCTTTCTCATCTCTGTTCAAATCAAACATATAATAAGTGAGTTCCTTATATATTAATTTGAAATGTGAAAAATGTAGTTAATAAGTGACTTACAGATCTTCTATTATATTCTGTTCTGTATATAAAATTCTCTGCAAAAGTGATGTATTTTAGAGACAAAGCTAATAGTAGTAATAGAATTTTTTAAAAAGATTCTCTCTCTTCTATAATATATTTTTCTTCTCTCTCTCTCAATTATAACAGTGAGTGTATGAGAGTATCATTTTTAAAAGATAATAAAGAACTTATTCTGATATTTTCTAGTGATTAAATGTCTTCATGATGTAGCTGTGATCTTCATAGCTGTTAAGAAAGTCAGGTTGAAGGTAAAGATAGCAGTATCAATGAGCTGCAGAAGCACTGCTCTTATTATTACATCTTCTACTTCTTCTGCATCTCTTACAGCTGCAGTGATAGTAGCCACACCTTGTAGTGAGATATCATCTCTTCTGTCAGTCAGTTCATCTATGTTCAGTTCTTTTTCTGCCTCTCTCACTGCTGTTATAACACTGTTTCCTTCTTC